TAATCGTACTAAATGAAACTGATTCTGTTCAAATAAAACGCAGTGCGTAATCTTATGCTGCATTCAGTTTATCTTCAGTTCCATGTATTTTAAATTTATAACAGCAATAATAATAATATATTTCTACAAGGGAAGATACGCTCCCTTTTTACAGACATGATCTACAAATTACAACATTTCTTGGCTCACAGTTTTCATTCCAAATAGGGTCGTAAAATATATATGGTCAATAAAAGTGAACATCAGTTCATTCGTGCAGATGTACCGGAGTGTTAATGATTAGGCTTATGTTTTATTATTACACTGAGTAGTCTTCAAAATTTTCTTTAATAGCAGGTCAACATAGTGTACAAGAGAGCAAAAAGCTGATGAAGAATGGACAAGAAGGAATTCACATTACCTTGGTGTTGATGTTATTTTGTTCTATCCCAACCGGTTGACGGGTAACAGATTCTACAGATGCGAGATCTCTGGTAGTAGGCAGTTCTCTTTACTTTTTAGGGCAGTAGTGGGCGTCCCTTAGCGACCGAGTTTAGTTGAGCAGTATGGATAGGTCCAGTGAGTTACCCGTTTACTTCAAGTGAAAAATTAGGTAGGAAAAAATATTTAGTACGAACTCAAAGTAGAAAAATAAGGTCAACTGAACTGAAAGTCCAGTTTGGTCTATATATGTAGAGTCTACCATGTCTGAGTGAGATGAAAATGTGTTCGTTCGTACTAGATCAATGCATGTGAGGTCTTGATCAAGGAATCTTACAAACGTATGTAATTCATCTGCCATGTGTATTTCAGTGGGAAGACTGTTCCATATCAATGCATATTTGATGATGAAGAAGTTTTCCGAAGTTTTCAATCTGTATTTCCCAACTTTAACCTTGGATACTTTGTCTCGAAGGTTTTATTCATGTTAGTCTTTGGCAAGTAGTATATTACATGTGGAATAAGTGAGGTTTTTGAGGAGTTCGAAGGGGTTTTAATCCCAATATATGGAATGGGGAACTGTAGTCAATGAGTGAGCCGGTATTACAGGTGAAATCTCGTTGTATTCATTTCACCTTAAGCATATTGGATGGGTGTGTGTTGGAAAACGAGAACGAACAGTATTCAACAATAGGACTTTCACATACTTTATAAAGAATGATTTTAGATTCGTTTTGAAAGAAGTTACAAAGAACAAAGCCAATCGATTGCCACGCTTTAGATTATTTTGTTGAGTTATGTTCAGAGAAGTTAGGACTGTGTGATTAATGCACCTCTAGGTCAGTTTCTGGTGTGAGTTTGGGCAGTGTGTTCTTGTTAAATGTTAGTTTTATCTCAAGAGACGTGTCTCCAATACATAGCCAGCTGCATTTCTCTGTGTTCAGCTCCAGCCTACAGCGCTTGCACCAGTTGTCCACCTTGTTCAGTTCATGTTGGATTGTTTGTATAGTACTACGCAGATCGCAAATGTCAGTTTTACAGATGACTTTTAAGTCAGCATAAAGATAGGCCTTACCCATGTTAAAGCACTTGTATATATTGTAGAAGTTGATCGTAAAAAGCAATGGACACAAGAAACTACCCTGCACAACACCACTGGTTATTGTTTTTTTTTCAGAAAACACTTAATCCATTGCAATAGGATGTTTTTCACTCCAACTGACTGGAGTCTATTGAGTAGGAGGTTGTGATATACTTTATCAAAGACTTTCTTAATATCGAAACATATCATAACCAGTTGTTTCTTTTGGTCACATATGCTGGTAACCTCGTTAAAGAAGTCTGTCAGTCATGTACTGCAGGACCTTGGTCTAATAAAACCATGTTGTGACGGGCCAATTAGATCTTCCTTGAAAAGGTGATCAGATAGTTGATTTTGTATCACTTTTTCCACGCTTCACTTTAAATACTTATTGTTCGTATAAATATAGAAGTAAGTTGTCACCAACTTTTTATTAGAAGTTATTATTACTATCATAAGATTTTATCAAGGGAATAAAAAAGTTTATATGAACTATTACATATATTATATATACTAGCGCGAAATTTGAAAGTGGAAACTGTTTTGCCCGTGGTCTTGAAATTCTTCGACTTGTTCTTTTGTAGGATGTATTATACGGAGACTATCATCCTATCTTGTATATCAAGTACATTTTACTCTGAAGAACAAAAAAAATTCTCGACGGATACTTACCAGTTCATATTATTCCTATTGCGGACTTAAGTCTAAAATAGATCTAAAATTTATTATATAATCATAGGCTCTGATCCTTGTATTAACCAGGTTAATACTTAACAACTACTAATACCCAGATATTATATTTGATTTACCGAGCTCTGTACTCACCCAGTTTCTAATCATGGCTAATAACTTCAGTAAAAGAGAAATTTCACTAACTCCTAAGCCAAATAAAAGGTCTAAATCTGTAACCCCTATGACAGACGACTCAGTACCTGACAACGTCAAACCTTTAACGAATGAAAAATATGCGTATTGTACACAAATGTCACTATCATCACCTGATTCTTCATGTTACAGCACCTCCATCTCGGTGTGCAGTACGCCAACGGTAAGACTGGTTGACATACAAGACACTATACCCATGTGCATCGAAACGTCAGCACAGTCTGCCAGACAGTACGTTTTACCAAGGCCCAAATCCAAAATTTCAAAAACTAAAGAGTCCAATAGTTCATCTCATACACACGAAAATACTGATAGATATATTACTGACATCCGTCAGCTACAAAGCTCTATCCGAAATTCACGGCAGAATTGAGCAACTAGCACGCCTCATACATATATGGGGCCTTGACACTGTCAGGAATCTTGAGGAATTCACCAAAGCTGACCGTATTTGGGAGTTTGTGGCTGAAGAGGTGACAAAAAGAGTGATGTCTTCCTTCAATGCAGTTGCGTATAACCTCATTGACCGCACACACCCATCTGAGTTGAGGGGTATTTGCCTTAGAGCATGCGGTATGCTGAACGTTAACTTCAGAGTCAGCCGCCTTAGAAAAAAGTCAGACAGATATACTTGCCCCCTCCTGTTTATGTTTATGCCAGTCTGGAACTAGCAAACTTTATCTCGAACCCGTTATGGATGTGTTTTAGTCTATCTGTAACCCGAGACAGGTTATCAAAAGACTGGATGAACATCAGTTTAAGTCCCACCTTTATTACAGGTACGAAACACAAACCTGAGGAATATCAACCCGTAAGCCTAACCAACGTGGTTGACATAAATTTAGAAAAGATTATCTGGAAGTTCTTTAGGCATTTAGACGAGAATCGGATTCCTTCTGAAAAGCATCGCGGCTTTAGACACAGGTTATTCGCGCCTCGCAGGCGTATTAGCATCTCGTAAAGTTGATTAGCCCTCAAAGATCAAAAGTTAACTATTGAAGTGGCCTTCATTATTTCTGTGAAGCGTTTGACAAAGTTCCGCTCAATCGGCTGTTATCTAAGCTGAGGGCTATTGGGATAGGAAACAACTAGTTTATGTGGACAAATGATTTCGTTGTTGTGTGCCGACTAAGTGTGCAGATTGACTTCCGGGATAATGTACTTAGCGGAGTGCCTCAGGGGACAGTTATACTGTCAGTGTTATTCCTCCCGTATGCAAATGACAATTCTGGTCACTTGTCATCACCGGTTTGGTTGGAAGCTTCAAATTGACCTAGAGCTTTGTCTGAATCGTCTGGAATTCGGCAGTTTCTGATAAATGCTTTCAAGTGCGTTTGATGCATACTAGTCGTCAATGTACAGGAACATACATGATGAGTGACATTGAGCTATCTAGAAGTCATGGACAGCGGAAACTTGAGAAGTGATGCACAGTGCTATGAGATAGCTACCAAAGGTTTTGGAGTCCTATGGTCAATACATGGGACCTTTATTCACGTTGATGTCAAAAACTTTTTGACTCTGCATACAGTATTCGTTTGTCCTAAACTCCAGTAGCGCATACAATTGGCTGACCCGTGCTTAAAAAATAAATGAGCTGTTAAAAAACGTTCAGAGAAACGCAAGTAAGCCTATTTCTGTAATTCAAAAGCTCCCGTGTGATGATAGACTAGTTAAACTAACTCTATTTCCCTTGTAATCCAGAAGAGCTAGAGGTTAATTGATCAGTTTCTAAATTATTTAATGATAAATTTGCACATGATATTCTCTCACTTTTCCTTCTTTCAAAACAGAAGGTCTACCAGGACTGTCTAAAGACATTCACAATCCCAGAACGAATTATTTTCCAGCTGACTATGAATTTTCCCGCAGAATCATCTAGTGAAACGCGCAAGCGTTACGCATGGCTTAAGCTCCATCTGTCGGCGCATTCAGAAGAGTTGGGTTAACTGAGAAATCATGGTTATCATGACTAACACGAGCCATTCAGCCTTCCATTCTTTTGAAACTGAAACCGATCTGAAATGTGGTGGATCCCATTAGAGAAGCTTGTCAGTAACACCAAAAAACTGTAACACTTCAAAACGAATTGTCTGACTATGAATAAAGTGAAACAATAACAAATGTAATTTACTATAAAATGGTATATTATATAATAAAATGGTAGCAATAGTTTTGAAATTAATGTTACTTGTGAGCTCTTTCTATTGAGTTCACTTGATTAACGAACGTCCCTCTGAAAGTGTTGGCACCGACGGCATGGTAGGAAAGATAAGTTCGACAGTGATATTGAATGGAATTTCAGGTCAAAATTTCAACACAGTGAAGCGTGGTCTGAAAGGATTTTATAATACCATTATGATCTTCAATCACAAGCCGTGGCCAATAACGCAGAAATATATTGAATACTTGAATAATGACAGTAGCGCAAGTTTTGATAAACCCGCCGATTATATCCGTTTAAGAAACGGTACAGAGAAACAACAGATATAGGATGTAAATGTAATTACACATAAAGCATCACAGATAACGAAAAAATTGTGATAGTTATTTTGCCGTTGCAAAAATCATTGAGTGCACATTTACATGACTGTCTATCTGTAACTCACAGCCCACAGAAGGCATATATTTGAGCGCGGGTTTTTTCCAAGGTTTCGTCTGTCTCCTGAATTTCCAACCACTTTAATGCAGGTAATTTCTTATGAAGAGCTAATTCTTCGATTCTGGATGCTGTTCAGAACTTTTGGTTTATAGTGGTGTAGTGATGTGTTTGTGCTCTTGTAGATTGACAAGTTACTTGTGATGTCAACAGTTTTTGACTGGTATTTAGTATATACGTTAGTTCTGATGCTTCAGTAGATGTCACTGTATTTTAAGGTCCGAGGTTAATCATAGTTTTTTTTAAAACTATTTCTTGACGCCAATGGACTCAGTTGTGTGGTCAAAACCTCAAATATTTTCAGTCAAATTATTGTAATAATGAGTCTTTATCCATATACTATATACACGTAAAGTTTTAACCATTTGCGCACGTATATATGCGAGTATCACTTTTCAAACACAAGATTCAGTCCATATGTGTGTTCATTTAAAGGACTGTGCATAAGGTTGCATCCAATACGTTTTAAAACGCTAGTAAATAAAATAAAACGAAAAGACTGATTCTTTTGCTTAATCTCGTAGGTCAATACCTAAATTTAAAGTACTATGTATTCGGATGTTCATAGCTGACATCAAATATACTAATACATCCTAATTGACCACTAAACTTCGAAATAAGATGAATTCTAGCATAGTAAATATCAACTTCTGTATGGCTAAGCAAAACTTGAGACTTCTAACCAAACTTTTTCTCTCTGTAAGTAAATATCTATCCTGGCGTTAACTTTTTCACTTCAGTTTACGTACAAGACAAGCTTGTTAGGGAGCCTGGTCGACTGAATTTAAAGTAGTTAGTACTGTCACTAAATTTTTATGTTCCATCTAAAGTGGATTAAACGCTCATATGAATGCGTTAATACTTTAGTATGTTAGTCTTTCTTAACGAGAAGCACGAATGTAACCATAAATATTTGTCAAAATACCATTCCTGTTATTAGACTCCTTCATTAACTCAGTTACCATAGTGTTCGTGTTAGGGTTTGAGTCTATAGTATAATAAGGTATGTAAATAATTATTGGGAAATATGGTATGTATGGACTAGTCAATTGATACTTTGCTATCAGTCATGCGTGAGTCATGTTTAAAATCACGTTTGGACTACTAGTTTGTTATTTCGGCTGCTTGTTATGATGACCTTGTTTCGATTGTCTCCAGATGCATTTAATACGTTTTGCCAGAGTAATAGTCTTATCAGTGTCATAATTTCAATATTTTCAGATTTAGTCGCACATAGAGATTACCCATTGTTTTGTTTATTATGGAATTAAGTTTCTGAGTACTTCGAAAAAGCTACGAAAGTGCTCTAATCGGGTTAAAAAGTTGGGATAGTCATGTAGCGATTAATTATTGTGCGATATTATCATTAAGATCTTCAAAGACGCAGAAGAGAATGTCTTTTTATGCCTGAAACGACATCTTTTATGTTGGTCATTTTCGCTTAACAAACTCCTTTGCGAATGTAATCTGACTTGCAACCGTACTTAATGTCGTTTCTGTTGACATCTCATTTAAGTGTTTTAGTGAAACCTTTGATATAATCCATTATGATTCTCAGAAACGCTAAGACTTTTAGTCAGAGATAATTGGCCGTTGGTATGTGGTCGTTGGCCTCTCTTATCGTACTTTCATCAAGTTACTTACTTACGCCTGTTACTCCTAATGGAGCATAAGCCGCCGACCAGCATTCTCCAACTCACTCTGTCCTGGGCCTTCGTTTCTAGTTCCATCCAATTCTTGTTCATTTTTCTCATGTCTATCTTCATTTCCCGGCGTAATGTGTTCTCTGATCCCCCTCTATTCCTTTGGTCTTGAGGATTCCATGTGAGGGCTTGCCTTGTGATACAGTTGGGTGCTTTCTTCAATGTGTGTTCTATGCACTTCCAGAGCTTCTTCCTGATTTCTTCCTCTAGGATCTGGTTTGTTCTCTCCCATAGTAGGTTGTTAGTGTCTAATAGTGTCCGGTCAACGGATCCGAAGTATTTTGCGTAGACAACTGTTAATAAACACCTGTATCTTCTGGATGATGGCTTTCGTAGTTCTCCATGTTTCCGTCCCAGACAGTAGAACTGTCGTGACATTTGTATTGAAAATCCTGACCTTGGTCTTGGTTGTCAATTGTTTTGAGTTGCATATGTTCTTCAATTGTAAATATGCTGCTCTTGCTTTTCCGATCCGCGCCTTCACATCTGCATGTGAAGGTTTTTACATCTTCCAAATCTTCTCTGTCAATTGTGATTGGATTCGTGCATTCTGTGTTGAATTGGAGAATCTTGCTTTTCCCTTTGTGTATATTGAGACCTACTGCTGCTGAGGCTGCTTCTACACTGGTCGTCTTCTCCTGCATTTGTTGTTGCGTTTGCGATAGAAGAGCCAGATCATCTGCGAAGTCGAGATCGTCCAACTGCATCCTAGCTGTCCACTGCATCACGTGCTTCCCTTCTGATGTTGACGTCTTCATGATCCAGGCGATCACCAGGAGAAAGAGAAAGGCTGAGAGTAAGCAACCTTGCCTGACACAGGTCTTTACTTCGAACGACTTTGCCGACTGTCCCCCATGCACGATTTTGCAGTCTAATCCATCGTAGGAATTCCATCTGATATTGACTATCTTCTGAGGCACGCCGTAGTGTCAAAGAAGCCTCCATAGTGTTGTTGTTTCCACTCTGTCAAATGCTTTTTCATAGTCAATGAAGTTGATGTAGAGCGATGAATTCCATTCATCAATTTATATGATCTAAAACATTCCTAGAGGTCTCACCATAACAGAAAGTTTGATTGCAAAGAAGACGTTTTAATATCTAGACCGTATTGATTACTACTCGGTTTTAGCGACTGAAGCTCTACTTCGGTCGGTTAGAAGCCAAATAACAACAACGTAGGGACATTAATGTCAATATCTTTTATTTCCTTACATTTGTTAGCCATAGGACTACTTTTCCTCTATCACTTGATATAATCACGGAGTCACTGACTCCTATCTTTTATCCTCTAATAAGCTTTGAGAAAAAACTATCAGTAAATTTCACTCAGAAGACATGACTTACAACTTGCGCCTAAAGCAGATCATTCAATTGCTGTTGACGAACATTATTTCCGTACGATATTTTCACACTTTATTTCTTCAACTCACTACCAATTCAGCTTTATGTAATAGCCTTTTGTATATCGTGTTTACATGAGGTGTATTATTAAAGATTTCAGTCTTCGTATCTTATCGCGAATGGGAAAACATGCCTTATTAGACAGAATTGTAAGATTCCATGCAAAATATTTGTTGGGGTTCTTAGGTATCACTAAAAGGGACAGTCTAAATGCCAAGGGGGAAGTCTTACTGCTGGTTTTAGAGGGATGTGACAGCAGTAAGGTGTTTCCCTTGGACAACCAGCATATTCCACGATGCTTCCTCACCGCCTCCAGCGGTAAGGCCTTTTGTAGTGCAGAGCCGACACATCAAAAACGTGCCTTAAAAAAACCTTGAGCGATCGACCTCAAGAAATTGTGCCCTGAGCTCTGCGGTCACGGTCCCATCGATTCGGTTTCTTCTTCTTGAGGTCCCTCATGAAGAGATATCCTTCCACGGTGTGGAAAATGGGGTAGTGACAACCGCCCTCATGCCTCTGTTGGTACCCGAAATTATCTCGTTGACGACGAACTCCCTCACCTTGATATTCTTCTAACTTCATCTAAATCGTGTGTGAATTCCATGTGGCTCATACTTTAAGATTCAATTTTAATTCGTTGGCCTATTTAATGCTGTTATACTTGGCTTTCTGTAACTTAAAGTGGTGCTATAAGATTACCAGAATACAGTAGTACTGTAGTTGTTAAGTCACTCAACCTTCAGCATTCGAGTTGTAGGTCCGAACATCGTCTGCTTACACTGGCTTGAAAAGCTTGATTAAAATCATTCCGTCTCACGCTAAAAGTTGTTGTTCAAAGTTGGACGTACAAAACTGCTCCTGGTTACCAAGCCATATTAAATCAAGTTGAAAATTGCAGCAATCGAAGTGGGATGGAGTTCGGGCTTGAAATTCAATGAATGAAGGCCATTGAGTTGTAAATCTACTATTGACATCCTAGCGACTCAGTAATACTTTTTTAGGTGTAGATGTTATCAAGTCCTGTTGAGTCTAAGTTATTAATCACTTGTGTTCTATTCTGTGGAATCGAAGTTGTGGTTTGCGGTTTATACACTTGACTTTCACCTATAACATTTTAGGTCCGAATTTATTTCTATTTACCCTAATACTATATTAACAATAAAGCATGATTCTGGATTATGGTTATACTTTATGTTTTAGAGTATGTCTATGGATTTGGTGCTTTTATTTATAGGCTGCGAACAACTTCAGTGTGTTTGATAAGCAACTTCTAATTCACCTAATAAGTATTTTTATTGGGAGTGGAAGAAAAATATGCTGAATTTTTCGTGTGTATTAATGGAACTAAAATTTTGTTCTTATTTTTAGCCACGACATTTGGACAAGTCAGACGAATCATCTAACTTGTCGGACGATGATTATGTTCCTTATATACCAGTGAAGCAACGTAAACAACAGGAGGTAATGTGCTTCATCTTTCATTCAGCGATATATTTGATAACAATCCTTGGTTTTAAGTGTTTGAGGAGACTACGAAAAGCCGAATATTCTTATGTTTGGATTACCATAGAAAGCATTTGGTTTTTAAACAATATAAATAAGTGTTTCACTCTTGATTTCTACGTGGCCTAGGAATGTTTCTCATGTAAACTGTATTTATTTTTATTACTCTGAGTATTGTTGTTTACTTTCAAGTAAGAAGTCATTGAAAACAAGAATTATTTGTAGGTAGTTTATCGATCCAAAGTCTTGGAAATATTTTATGTGTGTGCAGTTGTAATACAATTCTATCCCCTTAATGCTTGGAGCAATAGTTTGGACCATTCAATACATTTATTTATCTTTTATTTGTTTAAACACATAAACATTGGTACAAGGAGGCACCAAATAGATATGCACCACACAAATCATTAGACTTGTGTGAGGGTTGGAATACTGCCCGGGTGCCCAGATCGAAGTTGATTTTCTCAGGGGACCACACCCGGAGCCTTCAACCTAAAGGCCTAGTCCACAAGGCAGTGGAGCAACGTAAGGGGATGTAGTCCCATGGTAGCTGGCGACCAACAATTATTCATACGCCATTTGTTCCTTCAGGATCCTGGAGCCTATTTACACCATTGGTTTGGAACCAGAGTTTCTCAACTCCTCTAGATGGGTCCTCCATATCCACCATCCCGGTTAAAGCGCCGGACATTCGCTTTTCGTCCTTTCAGTTTCGTAAACAACAGTGAGTAGGACTTCCCTGGCAAAATGGCAAATAGTTAATATGCATTTGATCGTAATGTGAATCCTAAAAAGAAGTTGGTGTATCAGTCACTTTACTAACTCGACTGGTTATGTAAACATCAGATGGAACGAGTTATTAATAATATCTTAGGGTTGATGCTTAACTTCGGACTACCTCTCGGAAGTTGTTCTGCTTATTTTGTCTACGTCATATTCACCTACTAAGCTTGGACCATATTTGTGAAACTTAGTGTGAGCTGTTTCTGTTAAAATGAAAAGTAAAACTTTGTCTAATATCAGATTCGGTATACAAATTCAAAATATGTTGGTTCTTATTTCTATGGTTGATATCAAGTGTTCGTTTTGACTATATTTCTTACTGTAATGTTATCATATCAGTCTATTGTACTTATGTTTATTTGTTTTGACAAAGAGGTCATTATGAATTAGTTTTTGTCGCAGTAATTAGCTATCAATTCATTCAATTTGCTTTGAGATACTTCTAATATAAGCATTTCACTTTTTATAGGGCTTCTCAAACCGAGATAAGTGGGATGAAGTTCATTCCTCACCTGTTAAAAACGTACTTCTAGTGGTATCGAGTGGATAAACAATAAGCTGAAATCCAAACAAATTCGTTTGTTATTAAATATTTGTTGAGTGAAGGTTCAAGCATTTAAATACATACATCAGTTTACTCAAATATCAGATAATTTTGTTTGACTGCTTCAGAACTAGGAAGATATTGCTGACTTGTTCAAATCGATAGAAATAAAATATGGTTTAAACACTTACAATTCTGTCAAAACTAATGATCCATATATGCACTGTTGGACGTGTTCAGGTTCAGCTAGTATATTCATTAAGATGAGACTCGTTTTGTGTGTTAACTAGACGAGCTCAGCGGTTTAAGGACTGATTGGTTTGGATTTCAGGCATTCGATCTCAGGTTCGAGTTCCATCTCACTCATTTAAATCTAAAAAAACTGGGTAATATCATCACCCTTTGCATAAAAGTGTTTTCCAGAGTTTGATCACTAAGTTATCAAAACGAACTGTTTGCTTATATCAGACGTATAAACGTGGTTTTGTGCTAGTAATAAAGTTTCTGTACTACTAGTTTCATTAGTCATAAGTATTCAATTTCTCCCACTTCAGCTTACTTCACTGCAGCGTGTATTAGGTAACCTTGCGTACACTGAAGTACCTGAGGAGGAACTAGACCAGGGTAACACAGCAGAACAAGTTGAAGATGATCCGGAGGGTATGACAAAAAAGTCATCTGATGATAAACATCATGGACCTAATGCCCAGGGTAGTTTATTTGATAGAATGTGGGAATTAAAGCGAAAAGCTGAAGGTATGTTTGTTTTGAGTTTTTTTGTTGACCTAATTTAGAAAGGAAGGAGACAGAGCGGGATAAAAAATTAAAGGAAGAAGCTAAGATTTTAGAAAGTGTTGCTGAAAAGACCGCTTTAAAAGGTGTTGCAGAACTAGCAAAAGGTATCCAGTATGATAAACCAATTCAAACCAGGTACAGTAGTAAAACAACAATAATTTTTATTTTAGCTGGGTACCACCTGTTTATATCCGGGAACAAAGTGAAGGGAAATCTGAAGAAATCCGCAAAAAGTTTCGAATTTTGACCGAAGGTGATGATGTACCTGCTCCTATCCGACATTTTAGTGAAATGTGTTTTCCAAAGGCTTTAATTGATTTACTAAAACTACGTGGAATAACAAAACCTACACCGATTCAAATGCAAGGTTTACCAGCTGTATTAAGTGGTCGAGATATGATTGGAATTGCATTCACCGGCTCCGGAAAAACAATGGTGTTCTCAATACCAGTTATATTATTTTCTATGGATCAAGAACAGAAAATTCCATTTATTCAAAATGAAGGACCTTACGGTTTAGTTTTAGGTCCATCTGTAAGTTAGATTAATTTCTATTTGATATCATTTTTTGTTTTATTATATGGTTATGAGCTTTCAATTAGGTAGTTTTTATCTATTATTTTGTTTGTCATTAACTTTTTCTTTTAGACATAGGTAATGATAGGGACCTAGATTTCGAATATTTCTTTAGCAAACATATGCACTATAATATATTAGTCTGTCTCGTTAATTTGCTAGTTACATAATCGTGCAGTGTTATGCGTTTGTGCATTATTTCGATTTTTTATTTCTTTGAGCAAGAATATCGATCGGATGTCTATGATGATAATCTTCTTAAATTGGAGATAAAGGTATACAACTCATACATTTATATTACGCAGTTCATCTCAGTGAACGTTTTCAACCACGTGTCTTTCGTTCTACAGATGATATCATGATTATCTAAGTTTGGTCACTATCCTTCAACGTGGAATTCCATTAGGGCTTTTCACATAGCTAATTTGTGATGCGACATTATGTGACAAAGAGTAGCTCATGTTTAAAAATGTATCTAAATTATTTTCTAATGTGCGTTAAATCCATGATGCTTTGTGCCATCTGCCGTTGTGGATTTGCGGGTTTTATTTTTTATTGTTAATTCATTGGAGGTTGTCAGTAAGTAACTACGAGTCCAGAGAGGGATTGGTCTTCAGTCAGATAACCCAACAACAACTTCTCTAACAGTAGTACTAAAGACTTGGTTTGACAGTGGTTAGTTTCATATTGCTTGAATTGTAGTAATATTGACTCAATAGTAATTGTGGTGAGCACATTTCACATACAAATTAATATTATAGTGTTAAACGAAATCCTAAAAAATCCCATGTGCTATTTGATGACTATCTTCTAAAGACTTCCTAAACTTCCAAAGAGTTAATGAAAATAACGTAAGGACTATTACAGATGTACATCAGTTCAATTTGCCACACATCAGCACAGTTAAATGAAATCAGCGAGCTGCTTAGCAAACGGAATCGAAGTGATAATGTCTGTGATTGTAAAGAATATGATTTGAAGAGAAGAAACGGATTCTCCGGATAAAAATTAAACAAGACTATCTGGTTACTAGCTCAACTGATTTATTATGTGTGTAGGGGATATCTTTTATTTAATATTAGAGGTTTGTAATCAATGGAAAAGGAATTCTGAACATTGGTTTTGTGATGTTTAGTAGTTATCAGGAAGGTTGCGTACATAGGTTGCTGATATATGTGAGGAAGTATTAAACTCGTGTTTAATAATTTCTACCAATTAAACCTATGTAGCTGAAAATTTTGCATCTACTTCTGTTTATTAATCATTAGCCCTGTAAGAATGTTTTTAAAGGTGGAGTATATGTTTGTATATTTAAGTGTAAATTTATCTGGAATTTTAAAGGTGGTAAATAACTTTTTCATTTGAACTCAGTTGACTATTATTTTATAGATAACTAGTTTCACTTGTACCAAATATATTTGAAACATTTAGAACTGTTTAAAATGTTCATACAGTTAGAACTCTATTGTGATTTTAGAAACAGGTAACTCACTGTTGTTGTTACCGGTACTTAACTATCCACTTTAGTAGGTTATTACAATTACTACTCAAAGATTATAAACTTTATATTGTAATTGAACATAATACTGATAAAAAATTACTCTTCTCAGTTGAATTTGTTTTATGAAGATCGTAAAAAGTTTTATTGTTTACTAAAATTGTATTACATAATTCTTTATTTTTTTTCATAATAAATCTCTAATAAATCATTAGTGAATGATTTTTGTAAGTAATAAATAATACTATTTCTTTTATACTAGCGTGAATTAGCTCGACAAACACATGAAGTAATCTGTAGTCTTATTGATGGTTTAGTCAAAGCTGGTTTCCCATCTATTCGTTGTTGCTTATGTATTGGTGGTATGGCTGTTAAAGAACAAGCAGATATTGTTAAAAGATCTGGTGTTCATATTTTGGTTGCTACACCAGGTCGTTTAATAGATTTACTTCAACGTAAAATGATTAATTTAGAAGTATGTCGTTATCTTGTTTTGGATGAAGCTGATAGAATGATTGATATGGGTTTTGAAGAAGAAGTCCGAACTATATTCTCCTATTTTAAGGTAACAAATCAAAAAATTTTTTCATTCATATATATAATTATTACATAGACATTATGTAGTTTGAAATTAGCTGAATCAAGAGTATATTAGTTACGTTCCACAACATCCAATTAAGATATACACGCTTTTTGTGCGCTTGCCAACTAGTGGTGTGAACGAGAAAACAGGAAAATAACTAAGAATCTTTTATATGTGTATATTTGTCTGTTTGACCTGCATAAGGCCATGTAGGCTGATTAAGTGGATAATCGACTTATTTCAACAGCTTTTTAATTAAAGACATAAACTAAATTAAATTTTTAGCATCCATGTAGACTTTCTGCACAATAATATTTTATTGATTGAAATGCAATGTAACAATTAATGAATTATCAGAAGGGATTGTGTGGAGATTTTAGAAATTTCACTGGTTGAAATCATGAATCCATTGAAGCTAGACCACCATGGAAAACCTGGAAGCACTGGACGGCCGTTTCGTCCTAGTATGGGACTCCTCAGCAGTGCGCATCCACGATCCAGTGAAATTTCAAAAATCTCCACACAATCCCTTCTGATAATAATAATCATCTGCTCACTAGTGACTGACTTCAAGAGATACTCCTGAAGTTCTAGTGAGAAGCCGTTACCAGTGGAGTTCAACCAGGTCTGTTGTGAGATATCAGCTCACTGAAGACAATGGTGTACGGTGGCGCAACTTCGTGGATTGGTTGAAGTTAGACATTAACACCGTTGGATGCCGGCTCAGTGGTCTAGTTGGTTAAGCACCTGGCGCGAGACTGATAGGTCCTCGGTTCGAATCTCGCGAGGAGCGGGATCGTGGATGCACACTGCTGAGGAGTCCCATACTAGGACGAAACGGCCGTCCAGTGCTTCCAGGTTTTCCATGGTGGTCTAGCTTCAATGGATTCATGATTTCAACCAGTGAAATTAATTAATTGTTTTGTACTCAAATTATATTTAATGCCATTATTCAGGGACAACGTCAAACACTTTTGTTCTCTGCTACTATGCCGAAAAAAATACAAAATTTCGCTAAATCAGCCTTGGTAAAACCCGTCACTGTTAATGTTGGCCGAGCTGGAGCAGCTAGTATGAATGTCACTCAGGAAGTAGAATATGTGAAACATGAAGCGAAAATTCCTCATTTACTTGATGCTTTACAAAAAACTCCACCTCCTGTAAGCTTTCCCCTCTTATTTTCATGTATATATGTGTATAGCAGTATATATGTTACTGGTTAGCATTTCTAAGAGTTACCTTATTTACCAAAGAAGTTTATTGCTTAAATTACATTTGTTAAAATTCTGTATAAGTACTCCACTAAAGCAAAGGCAATAAACTCAAATTTGTACAAAAAATTAGGTAAAGAATGAGCAAACATGCTTTGTCAACTTTTAAGGCACATTTTTAAGTGTTTATATCAATGTTTTTGTACTGTCATCACTGCAAACTGATCCCCGTCCTCGTTTTGATATATGATATAAATCTTTGTAACTTTTCAAACTACGGTGATCTGTTCACTTCACTCTGAATCTCTGTTTTTGTTCTTATGCATGTGTGCACAAACATTCACCTATCTTGTTTAAACTTTGTCTTTTAAAAATATATCAAAAACTAAAATAAAATAACAGACCCTATCCGGCTGTCAAAGATAAGTAAGTACTGGTTGTTACGCTTCATCTATTGTTAGTTCAAAATTACGCTAGGAATTTTTATAACTATGATAACAAAAGATATAGTCAGTCCTACTATCTAGTAAATAAACATTTCTCTTAGTTGTTATTTATTTATTTTAACACATAGGTATAGGTACAAGGAGGCACCAAATACATATGCGCCACACGAATCTCAATTGATATGTGTGAGGGCTGTGATACTGCCCGGGTGCCCAAACCGAAGCAGGTGGTTTTCTTAGGGGGCCACACCCCGAGCCTTCGACCTGAACGTCTGACCCACAAGGCAGTGGATCATCGTAAGGAGATGCAGTCCCATGGTAGCCGGTGACCAACGATTGGTTCATATGCCATTTGTTCCTTCAGGATCCTGGAGCCAGCCCATGTGCACCATTAGTTTGGGATCCGGTTAAAGCTCCGGACATTCGCTCTTCGTCCTCTCATTTTCGTAAACAACACGTGAAGGCAGTGAGTAGGACTTCCCTGACAGAGGCTATATACGCGTGGCCATGTGAGAGTATTTTGAGAGGGTGAGCGAACTCTCCCCACTCTCGGCCGTACCAGGGCATTTGGGGGCAAAGGATAGTGGCTAGCAGTGGAATCCATTTTGACGCGCGTTTCGTCCTATTTGGGACTGGTCAGCTGGACGTACCTGCATCTCAGAGTTGATGTTCACTCTGGGACTCGAACCCAGCATATGAATGTACAATGTGAATTCTTTTCTCATAATTCGTCAGTTGTTTACAATCTACAACTTGAGTATTTATTTGTCTCACTGTAATCGAGCATATAATTTAAAATTACATCTGAATCACCACTGGTTTTTTTTATTTTGAGCCATGTCTGGTAGAGTACTTCAAATAATTGAGTTGGATAAATTTTAAAACCACAACCAGGTAGTCGTGATAATATGACAGATGGCAATCTATTATAGCTATCTCCATTTTTAATATTCATTTCGAGAGTTATTAAATAGTGTACTATATGGAAGCCAATAAAACCTAAAGGTCTTGAGTATAACTTACAAAAAATTTGACTATGTATATAATATGTCCAAATGTTCTTAGATAAGATGTATCATAACTTTCTAAAAGTTAGTTACTTCCATTAGTTCATAGTTATAAAAAATTCCCAATCTCGTCAAACCTTTTGATTTGCACCCAAATGCCCTGGTACGGCCGAGAGTGGGGAGAGTCCACTCACCCTCTCGAAATGCTCTCACATGGTCACGCGTATATAACATCTGTCAGGGAAGTCCTACTCACTGCCTTCTCACACCGCGGGTATTGTGGATCAGACCTTCAGGTCGAAGGCTCCGGGTGTGGCCCTCTAAGGAAACCACCTGGTTCGGTTTGGGCACCCGGGCAGCATCACAGACCTTGCACAAATTAAATGAGATCTGTGTGGTGCATATGTATTTAATGCCTCCTTGTACCAATATCTATTTGTTCAAATAAAATAAAATAAAACTTTTGATTTATTTATAAAAAAATTTGTTGTTTATCTTGGTTAATTGGTTTTCAGTATAATTCATAATTTTTCTTGCTTTAATTTACTTGCTTTTAATTAAAGAGCTTGACTAACATGGTTTTCAATGAACTAGAAGCTCATCCAATAATAGATTGATTGATATCATTAGTGAATGAAATATTCTTATTTAATGTTTATAATTCATTGCTAGTTTTTGATACATAAATATATTTCTATATTTTATTTCAGTTTTAAAATCTTATCAGGTAATTTTTTAAAAATTTAAAACAGGTTATTATATTTGCTGAGCGTAAACAAGATGTGGATGCTATACATGAGTATCTTCTTTTGAAAGGTGTTGAAGCAGTTAGTATTCATGGTGGAAAAGATCAAGATGAACGTGTATCAGCTGTTACAGAATTTAGAGCACATCATCGTGATGTTTTAGTTGCTACAGATGTGGCTAGTAAAGGTTTGGATTTTCCAGAAATTAATCACGTGATCAACTATGATATGCCTGAAGACATTGAAAATTATGGTTAGTTTAATATTGATAATAATTTGGTGAAGTTATTTTCTAAGTAAAAGTTGAACTTAGTAGGTCAGTGGGTAATACTCCGGGTATTTGAAGTGAAGGGTTATTGGATTCAAGTCTCGGAATAACTATCGACTCTAGGATGTGCTGATGTCGAACAAGACGACAAGTTAAAGGATTGTTTGTTGTGGGAAATTACATAGCGTTTATATAATACATATGCATAGCCTTCGATCATACATTTACATCTTGCGGTGTGCTCTGCAATCTTGTTAGTTCTAAACTGTCTTCTCGTTTGGTTATCAGTTATCCTATTTACACTGTGCTTTCGATCTACCGAAACTCTGCTCTTGGTCTGACGGCTGTGTTAACTTCGGCTTCACGTTTCGCCTCATGCTATTTACAAGCAATTTTGTCAACAATTTAGTTCAAACCCTTGTCAACCTACTTCTAATCCTTCACATTTTATATAACTCATTACTAATTAACAGTTGTTGTGATGCCTATTAAGAAGATACCGTAACTTGTTTTACAACTAAATAAATTATTTATCAACTGGTATCTCAGTTTTTATTTCCTAGTTATCAATAATTCACCAAATAGATCAGTGAAAGCTACATGTTTCTTCGATGTTTTTTTATTCATGATATATTTGCTATAAAAGCGGGTTGGTTAGTGAAAACACATATCTCATGAAGTCCAATTTTCTGACTTGACAATTTCAGAAATTTATAATTTTTTTTTCAGTATGAAATAATCCTAAGAACGTGTGACGTAACCACTCATGCTTGTCAATTGTACGTAGTATTAGAAACTAGTGTCAGTCTTAAAAGTATAATTAGTTAACTAATTTTTTGTGTTGTTTTCTCTTGTTCATTTTAGTACATCGCATCGGTCGTACTGGTCGTGGTCATCAACGTGGTTTAGCCACAACATTTATTAATAAATCAGTTGATGAATCCACTTTATTAGATTTAAAACATTTACTCATAGAGGCTAATCAACCTGTTCCAGAATTTCTTGTTGAATTGGCATCAGCTACTGAAGTTGAACTTGAAATGGGTGGTGAAGTTGGCTGTGCATATTGTGGTGGTTTAGGTCATCGTATAACACATTGTCCAAAATTAGAAGCAATGCAAAATAAAGCTGCTATTAATCTGGGTCGTAAAGATTTCTTGTCTTCTGCAGATTATTAACAAATTACCATTATTATCATTATCATCTGATAAGCGGAATACAGCTAAACACTTGATAGTTACTGTAAATAATTTCTAAATTTAATTTGTAAATAAAATCTTCAATTGACGTTCATACTTTTTTTCTTTTTCCTTGTCTTGTTTCAAAAGCTTAAAATTTAGGTTTGTTTTTCTTCAAAGTCATGAAATAAATGATCTAAAGTTTACTATACTGTTATATTACTGTATATACTATATTTAATCATATCTAAATATTGCGATTCACAAATGAAAGTTCGTTTTTGGTCTGTAAATCGTTAGAATATTTTCTCGGTTCATATTTAGTTGTACTGTATACATATGTTTTTTACTACATAGAAACCAATAGATCTAAAATAAATCGAATGAACTTCGATCTGAAAAGAATGGATTTATTGACTTAGTCACCATACCTTATTGAATTCTTTACTTCCCCTTGACAAATAAGTTCTTCATCAATTTACTCGAAATGTATTACAGGGAAATATAATCTCTCAGATTAACTGCATTTATTCACTACACTTTCGATACTAAATTTGTATATATTGTGAAAATCGACATTTGTAACCATTACATACTTCTAATTACCAAACTTTCCGTTATAAAGAAATCGTGTATAGTTCACAACTTTTGCTCAATTCTGTCCTCAGTCCCATTAGTTTCAAAAGAGAGTAAATATACTTTATTTTTCTGTTCATTTCAGCCAATGTATAGAGTTCACTTTCACACTTCTTCCTAATAATTTTCCGTTTTACGTGTGTGTGTGTGTTTCCCAAGCACTGGATACACATATTTCTCCAGAGAATAACTTATTAGTCATTCGTTTAGGTTGATGAGGTTGATTTTATATCTGTAATAACCCAGTTGCTTGGTGTTGTTGTATAAATGTCTGGCCAACGCTCATCAATTATAAATAGATAATAGTTTGTTTTATCCTCAGAAAATGCTTTTATACATTTGGTAGAGAAGTAATGTGTTAAAAACGGGATAGCACATATTATTTCATTTATATCAATGTATTACTGAATCAACCATGTATTATGTTACCGTCTAATGAATTATAAATTCTGCATTAAGTTCCAGTCTCAGGATTGAAATTGGATGATCTGTACAACTAAATAATTTATGAAAATTTGATAAATTAGAAAACACATTGTTTTCACACATTGAGTGAGTTGATAACCAAAGGGAACTGGTAGGTTGCCTGAATATTAATGTCCATTAGTTTTACTTGGATAATCGTAACTTGTGTGACTAGTTATAATTAATAATAAAAATGGTTACTGATAATACTAATAGGTCGAGATTAGTAAGTTTATTCTGAAAGGGATAATGTGTACACTGAACAAGAACATTTCGTTTCTTTACAGTTTATAGAATTTTTTGGATAACTATATGTAGTTTTATTTTTAAATTAAAGCGAATCCATAATGCAAAAATGTATTAATGTTACTACCATAATAATAATAATAATTACAATAACAATAGTTCATTAAAAATCCTTATTGTTTAACTGTATTTTGTAACAAAAATAGTATTTAATTCAAATACTGACAATAAGGTTATTTTTGGAGTAAATGTTAAAATTCAAGTGAAGTGAAACATAATTCATCAATATCATATTTATCTATCTACTTAGAAATAAAAATTGTGTACTGTTATGGAGAATTGTAAACAGAATCAAGTAGCAGAGTTTTCCTCTAGTGTATTATGCTTTTTTTGAACTCGTTTTAGATATCTTGTTATAGTAATCCTTCTTGAGAAATACACAGCCAAAATAAGTAGTATTATCAGTAGTAGTGAGCCAATAATTAGAAGAATTATTGAAATCGGATGTACTATATTGGAGGAAAAAGCATAGGGCAATATGAAAGAAGATAACATAGGGTATTTTATAATAATAAAAATAGAATGATTGGTATTAAATATGCTATATTTTGAACTTCATAAATATATGAAGGTTTATTTGATGATATTTTTGATACACTTTCTTATTGCCATCGTTTAATGAAATAGAAAATGGAAGGAACCTGTGATTTCTTTGTTTAGTTTTACTCAACCACTTGGGTTCAATTCCCGGTAGTTCAATGATTCGGCAGGATATGAATCATGACGAGATAAAACTCCAGTCTTATACCTGTTTTTTTATTTGTTCTGATATGTTAGGTGAAAGTAAGTTGTGATTGATCACTTAGCGAAAGTACATGCCCACTCTGTATTTAATAATATATTTATCTGTGTTTCAACTTTGATCTTTATTCTGAGTTGCACTTTATGTTGGCTGCTTTCATTCAAGTTAATTAGACTTGTGTAACCCGTAATTTGACCCTCAATCATTGGCCGGAATAGTGTATCATGTGGCCTGACCTAGTGACGTAATAATGTGGTGTTTTATTAAGTATTGTAATCTAGTTTTTTCTAGTTTATTATTCAGTGTAGTGTCACTACATTATCATCAACTAGTAAGTTTCATTTGTATGTTAACTGTTTAGTGGAGCTTAGTAATTAACACATTTCCAGTTTCAAAATGTTTCATTTGGTCAATATTTAAAAACCATTAACTAGTGGGCATATAGTATATCCAAGGATTACCCTTTCATATGATATTATAGTTGCACTTAGGGTTGAGCTCAGATATCCTTTCATTTTTATAAAAAGCTCGTTAATAACTTACATGTACAATACTCTGAACGACTATATCCTCCTACTTTTTTCCATCCAAATCTGCATGCACAACTGATTCCATTCATCACATCTACACAATATGAATTCGATGGGCAAACTGATTGACAATCCTTACATGTTCTTTTCATTGTATTAGCTTGAATCCGAATGGTAAAAAATTAGTCAGATGCGTATGTATTGTTAAGAAAAAACCAAAAAAGAAATACTCTATGTTTGCTAATGATTCCAAAGTTTAGTATAGTGACCTGAATAATATAAACTGAGTGAAATAATTATAATATTTTGTATTCTTATCAATTCCACTAACAACAGGTCTACTGTTACTGTATTCCACATTAAATCACATTAAATACGTAGGTTTACATGTTTCTAAAACAACCAAATAAAACACTAGAAAGCCAAATACATGGTTGAATCAACTATTTTGTTGATTTGAATATTCTCCACTATTTGAATATTTAAATGAGTTACGAGAGCAGAATGCATTACTGATTCAAATACATAATTCGGACGTTTTTGATAAATAGCAGATTTCTGATTAATCGACCATAAACGGTATAGCAACTATATATATTATTACATTTATTAACATCAAAATGTTTCACTAAATGGCGAAGTTCTTTTCAGTTTATCATCATTATACAATTAATTTTTATTAATAAGTTGTTTGAAGTACTATTCAACGACTAATGTGTTACGTTTTGTCATGTATTATTTGATTCGTTAGTATTGTAGTAAACGAGAGCACAGGTGGGGAGAATCGAATGTATTAGGATACAGAATTACAGAACATCTTAGTAAAATCTGAAAACCATACAGTATATAATTGATTTGCAAAGTGTCAATCAGTTGTCTCAGACTTCATTGTTCCTTCGTTTCCTCATTAATAACTCTTTGTTCTCGTTTTCCTTTTTTAATCTTCTTAACCTTCTGCAACCAAACATTTCATTTTCGATTAATGATACATACTACTTATATCTGTCGACATCAGTAGCACACAACACAGTATGTTCCCTGATTTGCATCGATTCTTCAACTGATTACTATCAAAAGTAAGAATTATTTTCAAGCTGTACAAATTCCTACAAACTGTTAGTTTGTGTTAATTGATTGGAGAGAGTGAGCAATCCAAAAAATTGATTCCTTATAACAACATAACATTTATTTTTTCCACTAATATTTTGTATATATGTTATTTTATTGAAAGAAAACTTGCTCTACTGGGGAACAATATTATCTGTTGTCAGTTCATTTGAAGGCTTAAATTAATAATTCAGTCTTGTTAGCAGCAATTGTTCGGCCACAGTATATCACATAGTATATCATCCATTGACTAGTATTATTTTCTTTCATTTTAACAATCGGAAATTTAATTCACTTGATATTGTTTTACTTGAATCTTCCCATTGATGTTTAGGACTGCAATTGATCAGTCACTTATTGGCATATGTGCATACTGTGCGTATGCCTCGATATTGCCTTAATTTACAAGAATTATAAGCAAAGATGGAGTGGCTAGCAGTGGAATTCAGTTTGACGCGCGTTTCGTCCTATTTGGGACTCGTCAGCTGGATGTACTTGCATCTCAGAGCTGATGTTCACTCTAGAACTCGAACCCAGTATCGTTCGTTTCAAAAGCCATCTCGTTATCCACTTAGCTACTGAGTTCATCTTTGCTTATAATCGGAAATTTGTTCAAAAAATTCAACTCTATAAAATAAATCAATTAAAACAGATAAAATAAGTAATATTTTGGTGAACTAATCAATATTCAGTCAAATAATAACTTACAAATGATTTTAATATGAATTTTACTGAGGTTTTTCCCATTAATATGAAATCTGTTATTTTGTTTCAATGTTCCAAGTAAAGTTTGGTCAGATAGTTGTGTTGCTTTAATTGAATCATAAACTATATCGATTACAGCAAACATGGTTTTTTGATCTGATGGAATAAACTGAACAACACTACAGTGAGGTCTTTCATAATGTGGCATTTTCTTGGTTGTTACTTGTTCCATAATCTGATTTATTTAAAGCGAATAAACAAAGAAAATGTAATAATAATAATGGTATATATATATATATATATATATATATATATATATATATAGATAGATAGATAGATAGATAGATAGATAGATAGGTAGTATATATACTGAGGAGTCCCACAGCTGGACGAAACGGTCGTTCAGTGCTTACAGATTTTTCATGGTGGTCTAGCATCAATTGACTCATGATCTCAACTATTGAAATTACTATAATATAATAGTTAATAAGACTTGTAATCTAAAATAATTGAGAAATATCAAAAATATTTATGTAAAATTCTGTATTAAAAGTTATTAGAAAGTCCAAAGGATACAAGACTCAATTAATCGTTTCAAAGAAATTAAGCTTATATTACTCTTTTATCGTATGTTCTTAAGCAGAAGTTTTGTTATTATCTACGGTCATAATTATGATTATATTTTAATAGTTACTACTGTAGAAATTAATTCTTCTTCTTAGTAATATTTTCGCTACCGATTGTTTATGTTTGTCATTCAATCAAGTTTTCTGGTTGCGGACTAAGTTTTATAGAACTCATTGCTAACTTCTCTTAATGTGAAACAACTCAAGGATGTGTTTTTTAATTATACAGGAAGAAATAATTAACACTAAACCTAGGTTATTAGTGCTTCTTGTAAATTGTTTTCAGTTTATCTGAAGTCAGACAATGCAATGTGATCTCTAGTCACTTAGGATACAAACCATGTTTCAACGTAACAATCAACCGAGTTCGAGGGTTAGGCAATACAATATTGATTGCTGTTCCGTAATCAATCAGTATGAAATCCTTTTCACTGTATATGCGGCAATGAAAGCAACAATATAGTGTTTTATTTTTCATGAATAAAAAGGAATTTAATTAGTGTTAAATTTTTTACCTGCAATTAATGACTTAAATATGGAAGCGATAATGCTTTATTGGTGAGAAATATGGTTATACGATATCCGTACTGTTCTTTATTCGTTGAGACAGTATATAAAAGTAAACATATATAGAACTATCAAGGAAATACCATAACTTATCTATGTTAGAGAATTCCATATACACAACGATTAAAAATTGAAAAAGTCATAGAATTAACTTCATTCAAAATGTTTCCACAAAGACAAGTGATATTTCAACTATGGGAGTAGAAAGTTCTCAACAGTGATTTTTCTGGTTGAAAATTATCTTTGTATAAACTATTTACGACTAATCATTTAACTATATTTTTTGAATTTATTTATTGTATAAATATGTTTAAAGTTATTGTTATGCCCCAATATGAATAATGAGTGGTAATTTTTGGGATCCATTTATGGACCAATACTATACGTATAATTTTATCGTATAATTGTCAATTAACTAAACTATTAATATTCATGTCTCCCTTATCATAAGCTTTATTTTAACCTATGAAGTGTTATTACCATTCTTGAATTATTCCCTGTTTATTAATCATTACCTCCTTCATTCACAGCCATTTTTGGCCAAATCTTGTACAAATGTTATTTTCTATTTTATGCTACGTTGTGCTCTGCTTGTTTTGTACATAAATCGAGTATGTTTGGAATACATGATTCATATCTCAGAGGCTGAGATTGGTGTTCTGGACTAAACTGGCTGGGCTAGGCAGGAAGCAAGACCAATCAGGACTCTAGGTTGCTCGTATGGGTTTTACGCGTCGTTGGTCCGATCGATAATTCACTGCTCTTTAATCGGCGGTCACAAGTTATAACAGTTTTAAAATATCATCATTATAAATTCGGTAGATATCTACATTGATCATTGGAATACTTGATAATTCCCCATTCAATAATCAAAAGTTATCTGTTAAAATCCAATCCAATCAAAAGATTATGCATTTAGTTGTAATTAATAGTTCACTGACATTAGAAAATATTATAAATACGTAAATAATATATTTGTAATATTCCAATGAGTACGAAAATTAGATTTTCTGACATTTCGTGATTTAATATAAGTCACTTCATCTTATTGTTCCGTTGTACTATTTAAACTTGGATTAGTTTTAATTTGGTTATTTATTTATTCTCTGAAGAAGTGACTTACACTAAGTCACAAAACGTCAGAAAATCTAATTTTTCTACTCATTGGGATATTACAAATATATTATTTATTTATTTATAACAACCTATCCAATGCTCAATTTATTCGAAATTATAAATAAATGATTATAATATCTAACATCAAAGTCAAGATGATCCATAAAAGGTAGTGTTAAACTTTTCTTACAAATTAACAATAAGTATTGACATAAATTTAGTGTTGTTAAAATTATTAATGAATCATAATTGCTTTTTTTTTGCGACCTTGTAACTTACAAATTTACAACTTCTCGTTGCAAAATATTCATATCTTTGATTTCCTGCAATTTCATTAAATTTATTTACTGATAAAGGTTCCATTTGATTGTCTGACATTTCTGCTAGTATACCAAAGTGAGTGAATACTAGAAAATTTGAGAAAAATAAGATTATTTACCATAATACAGTTCATTTTTTTTAGAAATAAACAAACACATAATTCATTAAAAGTGTGAATATCTCTCATAATCTTAATCATTTAACGAGTGATTGATTACATCACATTTGTGTTATATCCCGATAAGCATAATGAATGGTAACTTTTGGGATCCATTTATGAACCAATACTAAACGGATATTTTTATCGTTAAATGACTAAACTATTCATATTCACGTCTCTCTTATTATGAGCTTTATTTTGACCTATGGAATGTTATTATACGATTTACGATTCTTGAATTATGTTCTGTTTATTAATCACTACCTCCCACATTCACAACCACATTTGGCCGAATCTTGTACAAATGTTGTTTCCTATTTAATGGTATGATGTGGTCTGTCTGGTTGGTATATAAACCCAGTATACGTGAAATAAACGATTCATGTTGCAGATGTTGAGATTGCTGTTCTGGACTAAACTGGCTGGGCTAGGCAGGAAGCAGGACCGATAAGTACTATAGACTGCTCGCACGGGTTTTACGCGTCATTGATCCGATCGATAATTCACTGCTCTCTAATTGGCAGTATCATTACGTATACGTTAACAGGGCACTCAGGTCAAAAGTTATAAAATTCGTTTGTTAAATAAAACTATTGAAACTATTCCTACTAAACTGAGTAGTATCAATAGATACCGAATTTTTTAAAGTATTGTAATCAAGCAAAAAGCAAGGAGATTTTAGTTAACACTGCTTTTTTTATGTGATATTTAATGATATTATTTCAAATCGATTATTACTATTTATTCTCAATACTTTAACCTTTGGTTAGGTTATAGTTTTGGATTTAAGTCATATTTAGGACACCAATCAAAACAAAAATGCAATGAGCTGAATCCAGAATCTTCAGGTCATGGAGTAAGCAGTTCATGTTTAAATGGTTGGTTGAAAAATTAGTTGCTTATATTTTCAACTTTGACCACTAGTAACGTACTGAAATTCTTTATTAATGTCAAGTAGATCCTCATAGTTTGGTTCCTAACATATATCTACAGTCGTCGAAGTGATGCTGTTAAGGAAAAAACACCTTGATGCAATGTTTGGCTCTTTTAATCGTGAGGTTGTTTAATCTTTTTCAGTAAACTATTGAGTGTCGATCAGAACGATGCTGAAGAAATATTGACGTGAGAACTTTACAAAACAGTTGTCATAGCTATTTATTCGTCAAAATAATTGTAGTTTAGATTTAAGGTTGAGCAAATACTACATGATCATTTAACAGTAAAAAGTATCATTTTGAAAAGTTCTGATAAGCAGTAAGTCAATCTACCCAAACAGATAATAAATCACTTTCGTGATAATAAAACAGTGTACAAGAAGTTATCTGCCGATATGATTATGTTAGTCACTAGTAGAATCAGCTGCCTTGCTTCATTGAATGTGTCAAACAAATGGACATATTATTACAAAATTAGCTCCGGAAATAAGGTTATCCTAACATATTTGAAAAGCATTTCGGAAGTCGTTGAAAGGAATTCGAAGGATTTCTGTATCAATATATCTCATAATCCTACACAATTTATTTTGTTTTATACAGATTAAACGATAACTAAATGGGAGAACGAGTGGGGCATCATCTACATAATAAGTCGCATCAGTTGAGAGCACTATATTGAAATACTGAAACACCCTGCTCATCTATGAATGTATAAACATAAACCAGGAATGAATCCACACTAGATGTTATATCGTATGATGAGAATTATGGACATGAATTCGAACGAATGTCGGTCACTAGCTCAATTTCCGGTTATACTATAGTTAACAAATCGAGTGGAAGATGATAATGATTTGCCTCCATAATTGACAAGATTATAGATAAGAAATGGAAAATTCAGAAAGCATGTCTAAGCTGTAGAATTAACAATTATGATGCGATTTACTTTGTATTGTTTTGTTTGAATCTTCCCATTGATGTTTAGGACTGAGATTGATCAGACTATTATTAGTATATGTGCATCCTGTGCAAATTTTCCCGATATTGCCTTAAGTCACAAGCATAATAAGCAAAGATTCAAACAAACAATACAAAATAAATTTAAACTTCAATCCAATGCGTAAATTAGCGGCTATCATGACTCAGTGGTGAAGTGGATAACGCGATGACATTTGAAGCAAACGGTGCTGGGTTCGAGTTCCGGAGTAAACATCAACTCTGAGATGCAGGCAAGTTTACCTGACGAGTTTTAAATAGCACGGAACGCGCTTCAAACTGAATTCCACTGCTAGTCACCATTCATCTTTATTAATTATAATATGAAGTTATAACAATCATAACTTAATTTACATGTTAAAAATTTGACCTAATTGTAGTTTATGTAATCATAAGAAATATTATTATTAATCTCAAAGTTCCATAGAAGTGTTGACTATATTTTACAAAATAATATAACTTACGTGAAGTATTTGTTTTCACAATATTGGCACAACTTGGTGGTCCTTCAAAAAGGGCACATGCTTTTTTTCTGAAGGCTGCACTGTGATAAAACTTTCCTTGTATTATATTGTTTGGTGAAACTTTTGAAAATCCTATAAATACAAGTGTGTACGTGAAGTAAATACTTGACCACTAAAAATTTTTGATAAATATTCATTCTTTACAAATTGAAAATATGTTTAAGTTCATTATTGAATTATTTATCACATTTAACATAACACTTAAGTCATTAAAATGATTTCAGTCATAATTGTTAGATTTGATCACCAAGTTCAATGAGAAATATAAACATGATTACCAAAACTTGATTTAAACTATGTCAAATAAGTTACTGGGAAAAAAAACAGATTTAGTTGATTATATCTGTAGAAACTATAATGATGCACCAAATACATAGAGATACACGAATATTGTTAATTGTAAGATGTATTCATACGTTTGACTTCCAAATAGAATCAGATAATAAGTTGGAGTTAGTTACAAATTAATTAAAATTATACGTCGTAATAATTGACAAGTCAGTATCATGGATGAGCACCTATGAGAACTCCGATACCGTGATGAAAAGGTTATCTAGTGCTTCCAGCTTTTCAGTACTGGTCTAACTTAGATCAGTTTATGTCTTATGAAATTCAATAATCTCTACAACTCCATTCCGGAAAATAGTATCATCTTAAAATTTGCAATCATATTATATTGATTACTAAGTCTCATTCATAATTAATATCAATTAATGATCATTTTACATTTAGAACAGAAAGTTACCTGAAGTCAACTCTTTACTTTTTGATTCAGTCTGAACGGACAATGTACCGATCATTTGATGTCCAAGTATGTAATACAATAAGATAGCAAGATCGAACTTCATAATTAATTTCTTATAAAGGTGTTTTCTTTTCCAGTAACTATAGGTATCCTTGAATCACCTATTTGAGAATAACAAGGAATAAGTGAAAAAAGAAAGGAATGGTTTAATTTATTTAACCAAATGTATGTTTAGTTAAATACATCAAAATTTAATATAATGTCAAAATTCATAGCAACATTATATGAACCCAATTTAATACCATTAAATATTTATTTTATATTTAATGACGTGACAAAGAAATAGACTAATATTTTAGCTTTAGTCCATCAATTTTCAGCATCGGGTTGTGAAGATTATGACGTTTTTGATTGAGATCATGAATTGATAGATGTTAGACTACCATTGAAGACCTGGAAGCAGTGGATGGCCATTTCGTCCTATTGTTGGACTCCTCAACAGTGCGCACCCACGATCCATTTTATTTATCATATACTGCTCTCCTAGAATTATGGGTCCCTAATATAATATCGATTATGAAAAGGATTAGCTATTCATGACTCGTTTATATTATTCAGTGCAGTTATTTCGTTTTTATTATATGATTTTTTTTTATTTCTTTAATATACAATGTGATTGTTCTCTATAGTACTAATTTAAATAGCAGTACGTTAGAAATAATGGAAGAAATGATCAGTGCATGATTATCTGATAGCTCATAATGTAATACTTAAATATAAATATGGTTGTACATGATTGAAAATAAATCAAATATAAAGATAGCTGCCTGCTTGAATATCAGGGCTACATGTTTCTGCCATCTAAACATTTCAACAAGTTATCTGTTTTTTATTTTGTTTTAATACCTCATTATGTTCATTAACCGCATACCCTATACAGGTGTGTTTATGAAAAGCTTACGACATTTCGCTGCACAAGTTACAAAAATGTACAATAAGAGACATCGTAGTGGTTGACAATATGCACTGAAGAGAATGAACGGCGAGACTATAATTTATGGACGACCTTTGAACGAATCTTAAATGACCTTGATGAGTATTAGCCAATTAGCAAACAATCAGTATAGAGTAAAAATATATTATACAAAACCAAAGAAATATAGTGGATAAACTTCTTATACATGATTTAAAAACTTGTCAAGGTTAGGAAGAGGTTCAGAGGTTCTAAAATCGTAATGCATGCAGTCGCGGAAATCATCCGTTTGGCTACAGAATAGCCGACCTTTGAAGCCATGACAAAGTCTCGAAAACTCTTTCAGCCTCGACCACATAGCTTCATTAATGTTTGTGTGCACTTCGGTTGTTAAGTACACAAAATGCCACTTGTGGATAAGTCTATGTAGGAGTCTGTACTCTCTACAAACATCCGTATATATTGTAGTACGTCGCTGCAGCCAGTATTACTGGCTCTTTTATTCTCCAGTTCGCGATAATTGTCACAATTTACCTTAGTTAGGAATTATATATGAGGTTTTCATCACGGACTGACACCAGCTTTAATGCCAGAAATTTATTTAGCCAAATGGATGAAAGGCTTTCGCGTTAAAATCTGAGATCTATTATCTTATACCTGATTGATTCGTCCACAAATAATAGTCTCGCCGTTTTATTTGTTATAGCCGCTCAATTATCAGGTTTTGTAGAAAATTCCTTGTGAACCGATCGTACGTTAGCAATAAGCAGTAAAGTTGGCGCTGTGACCTTGAAATCTCTCAGACGCTTCTGATTGGCTTGTCCATAAATTAGAGTCTCATCGAATGAACATTAATCGTATGATGATTCCCGAGTTGCTATATTGTAACTATCGATCACTAATTCTCAAGGTGGATTATATTTAAGTCAAAACATGTATCATAGTTATGGTGTCATCACAATTCAAGAATCTTGAAAAATAAAATCTGTTTAGATGAATTAATTGTTCTATGATTTAATTAGTATTTCCAAATGTTAAAAAACCTATTGATCATTAAACTGATAATTAGGTCAATGAAGATCATAGTGATTTAATTAATTAATTAATATTCACGGAAGTTCTTCAGTCTTAAATAACAAAATACAATACTTTGTATATATATATATATATATATATATATATATATATATATATATATATATATATATATGATTCCTGTCATTTATATTATCTTTTTCGTATTTACTTTTAAAACTGTATTCTTAATACTGTTGGATAAAATTAATTAAGTTGGAATTCTTGGTACTTTCAAGCTATCCCTTTCAAAATTTTTATTCTTAGTAGGAAATTTATTCTTTACATTGTAACTAATAATTAAAAAGTTGATTTTTATGATGATCTAGGATCAACTTCTAAAAGAAGATATTTAAAAATAGGTCAAACAATTTTTATTCATCAAGATATTTTTGTTTATCATTATTATAATACGGATAGTTTGTTTAGTAGGGTAAGTGACTGTTAGTGATATCAATACAAAGAAAAATAACTAAGCTTTATTTTTTCGGAACAAAAACAACATTATAACCAGACATATATTCACTTTTTTGGCAAGAGAATGGAATTTACAAACTTTTAATATATAGTTATTGGTTTCACTACGTAGCTAATCAATAAATCAGTGAAATCCACAAGGTTAGTCATTTAAGCGGAAATGGGCCTTCTGATTAATCACTAGCTGTAAATCTGAATAAATTAGTCACTTTATGACATGTACTGTATCTCTCTCTGACAATTGACTGAAAATCTAACATGATATATTCATTTCTTTGATTAAGCTGAATTTAGAAAGTATGTTTAAATATGTCACAGATTAACATTATATCGAATAAATATGTGGCAATTAAATAAGTCGTTACAAATTTACCGGTCGCCGTTTAACTAACTAAAATCACTGACACTGAACTCATGTATATCCCGATGTCCATTCAAAAGGACGGAGAGTTCAAAAGAGTGCACATTCAAAAAGGCGCATATTAATAAATGTGAGCATTGAAAGGGGGCATAATACTCTTAATGGTGTGAAATATATTCGACTTCCCGTCTGTCCCTCTGCCCTACAACTAACGAAATATAGTTTTTAAACGTCTAGTGAAGAGTCTACTTCCAACAAACACTGTAAATCTATGATTTTGTTAACCAATTGTTATTCTTATTACCTTAGTCATGTTATCTCGTAGGTCTATTTCAACCAACTGGGGGATAGTCCTTTTAGAGGGATGTTTGAAAGAAATGCATAAGACATCCTTTTCTTTATAATAAGAAAGATGTACTCGGTGTACTTTATTACATGTGTTCCCAAAGCTAAGTCTTTTGTGCTCTCCAGCGAAAGTTATATTCTGTCAATTATTGACGTACGTGATGATAAAAGTCAAATGACCAGGTTTTATGTAATATTAAGTAGATAAATAAGTAATGAACACGTGCCACCCGTCCACCGCACTGTTTTTCTAGGAAGCTCTTCCAAAATAAAGGGCAAATCAAACATATTTCACAACATTAAAGTAGTTATTCCTCCTTTCAGTGCTCACTTTCATTAACATGCGCCATTTCGACAACTGCCCTTATTCATAAGTACTCTGAGTGCCTCTTTCCCACTCTCCATTTTCATAGTCGTCCCTAATGGTGTAAAGCTTACGTTCCACTTAAAATCGAATTCAATTCTTTATCTCATTTTACTTCATTATTATCACGAACATATCATTACTTCATTATTACTACTACTAGTATTTATATTGTTATTACTATTATCCATACAACAGCTCTTGTTCTTCTTATTTTAATTTAATATTAAGAATTATAATTTGAAGAAAATTACGAAATCGATTACAATGTTAGGACGAGTAAAGCCCATAAAGTTAGTCTGAATGATTGCAAATTTTATTATCCGTGATTAGGAACACCTAACTGTCAGTTAGTTATTGATGCTATAATGAATCAATTATCAAAATAATACTCATATAGTAATGCATACTCTAATTAAAATCTGTTGAGATTTTTTGAAACACCTATCAATATACACAATCTATTAGAATGATAAGCTTTAAGAATATTAATTTTCACTAATCGTTAATAAGATTAATGTAATTTAAACATTTTCTAAGTAACTGACTACTCGTTCTGGTACCAATTCATAAGTACAAAAGTAGGCTAGTTAAAAAAAAATAGTTAAATGATAGCCAAAAATTAGTTAATGGTAGCGAAAGTAATCAATTACTTTCCTAGTGAACTAACTTTAAATAAGGATGACAAAAATACATTGAGCACTTTAGATTACTCGATTGATCAAGGAAAAAAAAACAAAATAATCGTACATAAGTAATCTCAATGTAGGTTTTATATTCTATTGTTCAAATGTTAAATGAACAAAAGATGAATCATTCTCGTAATGATTTCTTAACTTTAATGAAGTATAGTCAATTAAATCATTTAAGAATGTCAGCAAAAGCTGTTTTATCATCATGATAATACTTTATTGAATATGATGAAATCAAATGAAATTTCAACTAAGCTATGAATGTAACTTAATACAACAAACTAATAATTGAGTTGGAATGATCCAACATCATTCTATGAATTGCATAACAAAAGATAGAAAATTTAATCAACTTTAACAAGTAATATGTGCATAATTTAGTAAATAATTCACCGAACTCTTATTCTTCTACTCTCTAATTTCGATAGAACAATGAAAAGACGGAGTTGATCTGAAAAATATGATGTGATGAACTTTCATTTAATTTACTTTTATTAATTTTCATATGAAAAATGCCCTGACAAGTATATGTGTGACTAGATTGTTCGAAATATATAGCGCAAATACATCACATTGTTCAGATCAACTCCGTCTTCTCATTGTTCTATCGAAATTTATAAAAGGGGTTAATTACTTTAAATATCTATCTAATTCTTTTTAGAAAACTTTCAATCCTGTTTATTTTTTATTAAGATTTTAATGGAAACAAATAATCATTATACTGATTAGTTATTTTAAAGTTGGTTCAATTTAGTGAAATTATTTGGTAAATTTGAATTAAGGGATTTATTGTTACCTATTCAATTCATATTGGATC